TATTATCTTCATTTTACAGTTGATGAAATAGATATAAAGAACTGAGGAACCTTTCCTAGGGCAAGAACAGCTAGTAAATAAGAGAGCCAGATCACAAACCCAGACAATCTGTCCCTAGAGCCCAAGCTTTTAACCACTAAGCTTCACATATATGATGAGATATATATTATTTACACACACACACACACACACACACACACAGAGGAATGGCAGAGATAACAATCTGCAATTGCCAATTGGATTCAACAGGACAACACATGAGATACAATAAAATTTTACCTACCTAGCTGCCTTCTACTGGTCTCTCCCAACTGGAGTGAGACTCTTAAAGATGTCCTTAGCATGCTAGTCTTAAAGTTGCCATCTTCAAAATGTCCTTTCTGGATATAAAACTGGTATAGCTAATCATATTGTTTTCTTTCAGTTCCACCTGCCTTGACCATAAATCCCAGAAGAATCTGAAACCTCTAGAGATTTTTCTGTTTATCTACACCTAATATAAGTACAAAATGCTCCAGACTTCCAGTTTGTTGGCATTATTTTGGGATAGATATGGAAAGCCTAGAGGGAGACCAGCTGGTATGCTTGGGTGAACCAAGAAAACTCTTCTTTCAAGTGGGTTCAAGGATTAATGCAAGTTGATCTGTTCCCTCTCAGACCTTTGTATAATACGTTTGGTGGTGAATGGTTCATTCTCAGAGGACCTACCTACAGGCTGCACAGAAGCTCAGTAGAAAGGAAAACAATATTTCAACAAATGCTCAATAGCATTAAAAAATCAAGAAAAGTCAACAATAGGTTTTTTTTACAATCATATAATTGTTGCACTTTAGTAAGACTAATAATACACACTCTCCTATATTGCTGTTAAGATTGTATTTTGTCACAAACTCTTTGGAGGCTAATTTTGCAATGTCAGTCAGAATTTACAATGTGAAGTTACCTTGGTCTGGCAATTTTACTTCTAGACATTTGTTCTTAAACAAGCAAAAGCTTATGTAAGAAAGATGTGCTCTCTCACACACATACACAAAGATTTTTATTATACAATCATTTCTAATAGTGCAAAATTATAAGCCATTTAACTGGCTATCAATAGAAACATTAAATGAATTATGGTATATTTATACAATCAAACCTAATACTGCCTTCAAAAAGATAAGGTAATTGATTTATGTATTGAAACGGGATGATGTGCAAACATGCAGTATCCTAAGTGTACTGTAAATATGCACCAATAAGTATAATTTATATATACTAATATGGTTCATATAAAACCACATGTATGTACAAATTATAGAAAAGTTGAACCCTATAAAATTGAGTTTTGTAGGTCAAAAAGAATCAAATATTAGCAATTTTATAAAGTTCAAACTATCACATTTAGCAAGAAAACTTTAAAAAATAATACCTATTTTGCCTTCTAAGAATAACTATCTTATCTTTTTGCACTCTGAGTTTATTTTGTCAGGATGGCTTTAATGGGCCTTGTTTTACATTCATCCAATGATAAACATTGCTTGAAATCCTACTACTTACTTGCTAGGTACCATTCTGGACTCTGAAGATTCAGTAGTGGGAAAAAAAGCAGAAAGATAATTCTTTCCCTTACAGAGGTTACTTTCTTTAAAAAAATGTATTTTTAGCACCCTGGGCATAATCTGGGAATAGAAAGTTGACAAAAGAAGAATTGAAACCTCTGTGTATTTGGGCAAGAGAAATCTTTGCAGATTATGCTGCCTTCTGGAAGATGCTTCTTGTCCATCTTAATATGTATGGCCGTTTGCTACACCACTTCCTCTTCCTGGACACACAGAAAGACTTCATTTTCCAGGCTGCTTTCACAGTTTAACTGGGGACATGTGGCTGGTTAGTGCCAATGAAATGGGATGGAATGAGGAAACAGTCCCTTCTGGGCACAGGCCAGTGAGAGAGTGTCAGTCAGTGTGTGTGTGTCTGTCTGTCTCTCCCCTTCCTGTTATTGAGCGTTTGCAGACATGTGTTCCAGATGGCATAGCTATGAGATGAAAGAGGACTGCTTGAGCTGAGTGAGACTTGGACATGGGAAACAAGTACTAGGAGGGAGAGTCTGCCAGTTACCACGATAGAGTACTCACTACCCCTAAGATGTATACTACGCCCTAAGAGTGTGTGTGAGGGACACACACACACACAGATGGACACACACAGAGACAGAGAATATGAATCGAGATAGGAAGGCCAATCTGTGGTGCCTATGAGATGACCCTTCTACAAAGTTTGCCTCTTCTCAGACTCTGGGAGCAATTGTGTTTAGAATCCAGTTTAAGGGTTTTTTCCTCCCTATAATAGAATCCCTTATCGTTGTCCCAAAACTTTCAAAAGCTCTGTATACACAACAATTGTGTGCCACTGGTGGAGTGGGGCATTAAAGGCTGGAGCCGAGCAGAGAAGTGTGTTGTCTCCTGCCCTACTTCTGAGGCCAGAATGGCAACACCACCTCATACAAGAAGGTGGAAGTCCTCAGTCCCAGACAGTCCTGTGAGCAAAGTGAATGGAGGGCCATGGCAAAGTAAAGGGTGAACTTTAGGGGCTAGTGTAAGTAGAAAAGTAGGTCTCAGTGGAGAAGTGAGTTATATGCCCAAATATACTAGAGGAATGCAACCTTTAGACAGGCACAGAATAGGGGCTAACTTCCCCCATAAGTGGAGGATATCCAGGTGGTAGGGATTATACATTGTCAGGAAAAATCCCTACTGGTCTGAGAAATGAGATTATACAGCCAGATAACTTTAATATTTTTGCCTTTTATACTTCCATAATTTTAACAATGAGAATAATTATACAGTAAAAGTTTTATTAAATGTAAATAGGAAAATATTGAGGCATGTACAGTACAACTTACTAAGTTGTTACGTAGATAGCTGTTAACTTGGAATGAACCTGCAATTAAGATTTGCCACCATAAATGTATCACTCAGTTATGATGTATCCTTTGTACATAGTATGAACACACTGCAGAGGTTAATTTGGAAAACCATGAGTAATTCCAGAGACGACTGCAGGTTGCTTCACTTTATAAGCTGGCACTTGCCATTATTAAAAGGATAGGTTTTTGATTCAACATTTTGAAAGTTCTGCAGTAAAATGTATTTTTTAAGTGCTTATTAAAATATTGAAGTTGAGATAGCACCAGATGGCGACCATAGCTTTTTCTTTATGAGGATGATTGATTTGGAGCATTCTAACTCTCTATGCTCTCCTATCAAGCTCTCTGCCATTTGTTCTTTCCTTTGTGGCTCCACACATTCTATCTGGTAAAGAGTGTTGCCTAGTGAGCCCTGGAATGAATGCCACACTGGTACTAAGAAGACCTGGGTTTGGGCTCTAAATCCAGACCTATTATTTTCAAGCCAATTCACTTTTCTTTACTTAAGACTCCACATCTGTAAAGTGGCAGGTGGTGGGGTGGCTACTTGGTGGTTTTTATCTAAGGCCTCTGCTAGCTCAGAATTTTGTATTTCTATGAACCAAGGGAAAAAATGTGGAATATAATACAGAGATAAGCTGGGTAAGAATCACAAGACAAAGACTACATGATTATCTTGTTAAATCTATGAAAGAATGGATTTCTTTTTATCTCCCATGGAGTTCCACTGGTAAAAACTACACAAGCTGAAGCAGCCCTCAGTCAGCCAAGACAACTTACGTTGCGCTGTGAAGACACCATACAGCCACTCTCAAGTGTGTCAGCACAATTGCTGCAGCCCCTCAGCCATGGCTAAGAGGAGAAACAATCTTGAATATTCAATGAAGACAAGCTGGTTTTTGAAGGGGAGCTGGTTTTTATGTCCTTAATACAATTCTTTAGGAGACTGAGTAACAGTTCTAAACCTTGCCTCCTGTCATACATAGATAGCACCAAAATGTGAATAGTCTGTTTTTTAAAGACATTAACCAAATGTATCCTTGACACACTGCTTTGGTATATCGATTAATGTAACCTCTTTCCTACATGTATCCTCTGCTAGAAACTCCACATAAACCATCTCTGTCAAAGAGCTAAGAAACAGTCTGATCGGAACTCTTTCTCTTATTAACTGTCCCAGGGCATGGCCCTCAGTATTACTATGAATAAACTATCTTTCTTAATGTGATAGTCATATTGATTTCAGCTGACAATTCAATTGTGATTCTTGGTTGCAAACAACAAAATTTACACTGGCTAGCTTAAGCCAAACAAGATTTATCAAAGGATATTAGGTAGCCTGATGAATCTCTAAGAGAGCCTGGAAAGCAGGTGTAGAAGCTACTTGACAAGGAACCACATGGCCAGAAACAACATCCAGCTGGTTACAGTGTGAAGACCCCTCTACCACCACCCACCACTAGATGCTGGTCATGGTTGGCACCAGACACAAGCCCCAGAAGAGCAGATGCTTCCACACTTGCTAAATCATAGGTCTTCCTGGGCACAGACATTTCCTCTCTCTGCATCCAAGCCTTGCAAGTACATCTGATGACTGGAACCTGGGGTGCGTATCACAGCCCTCAGTACAAGACATCCTGGGAAATGTGTGTTTTGAAATTTTCCTTGGCAAGATTTATATCCATGAGCACACATCTTTCTCCCAATAGATTTCTGCGGAAGTTAGTACTCTCCACTGACACTTAAAGTTCCAAATCATTAAGGAAGTTGCCCAAGTTTATACAGGAAAAGGGAGAATTGAGATTTGAACCTCAGTTTCCCATCTCCAAGAACAGCACCCTTTCAGCTCCTCACTGTCCAGGTAGCGGCACAATTGGGATAACCGGCCTCATTACTCACTCACTCACTCTCCCACCCCTTGTTCATTTACATGAACACTGAGGGAATGCAGCCTTGTAAAGGGATATGAGGAGAGAATCAAACCAGGCTCAGTGGGGCAGCGGACTGCAATGAACAGTCGTAATTCCCTTTCACATCCAGGGCCTCTCTTCCCGCGAGAGAAGAAAGTAAAAGCCCAGCATTTTACCTGTCTTCAGAAGCTTTCACATCCTTCTTGGAAGCATGCAGATTGAGCTCAGTTGATCATTTCCTCCTTAGACATCCCTTCCCAGATGCAGCAGAGATCCTTTAGGTAGCAAGATGCCCTCAGTCAGTGATCCTCCAGCTGCTTCAGTACCTAGGAGGCTTCAGAGCTGAAAAATGAAACCCCACTGAGGAGAGACCACAAAAAAGCAACCAACGTTTCCTCTGCCCGTGGTAACAGAGCCCAGAGATGGGAGCCTCACTTCCCCTTTCTGTTTCCAGAGAGGAGTAGAGTTCTGGGCTTAGTGACTGAGAAAACTTGAAAGTATTACACTCTTTGCTACAGATATTTTTAAGATGCCATTCAATGTTTGGGGGGAGTCATAGATTAGCTCAGGTTTTCAGATCTTCTCAAGTAAATAGTTCCCATGTAGTGGAAAAAAGTTTCAGGATCAGATGTTTCAAACGTGTGTATGTGAAGAGCTTCTAATGAACACAAACAGCTAAGAGTACTCCTTAAGTCTGCTGAAGAATTCTAACCCAGGAGAAGCTAGACTCATGAGCAAATCCAAAACATAACCTGCCAGATGGTCACCAATGGTTACGCGATGTGTAAAAAGGTCAGCTGTCTCTGGCAGCAAGACCTTGTGCAAAGAGTTTTGTCATTTTTCCACTTCTGTTCACATTAGGGCTGGATTAACATACCACAGGGTACATCTTTACCTGTAATACAAGATCAACAGTGGCAGAAAGGTATTTACAGAGCCCTATGTAACTGAAATAAAACCGGGCTCTCTTCCCATTTTGCATCTGGTTTTAAAGTCAGCAGCGAGTCATGTTTATACTTCTATTACATATTCTTCTGCTCAGGAAGGGAAGCACAGGAAAGAAATACACCAAGAACAATTCACAGTGGAAATCAATATCAAATTCATCTTGTTTATGGATTTCCTCCCACAATTCTGATTTCACTTGTCAATGCTTATTAAATTACTAAGTGTTCAAAAATTGAAGCAGATATTTTATTATTTTCTTGGGGGGAGTCGATATCCACAAACACAAAGAAATTCTTATGAATAGGTAAGAGGGAAAATGAGAATGGAAATATTTCAAGTGGAGAAGAGGAAGATATTCTGAGTAGACATGAAACAATACTGGTAATTGTAACCAGGCAGCAATAAGCAAGGGAGCAGAAGGTCAGATAAAAGATTAGTAGGGCTGTAATTACACAACAATAGCTGCAGGGGCTCTTGGGTGATGCACATGTCCAGGCCCTCCCTGGGGATGCTGATTCAGAGGGTCTGGGCACCTGATTTTAAAAACCTTCCAAGGAATTTGATTCACCCTTCTATTGGACATCACAGCTCAAGGTCCCTAGAACATGATACTTCTTAGTTTGAAAGATATGGAGGGTAATGATAACCACTTGTTCAGTCTTCCACACAGCCTGAGCAGTGGCCTGCAGACCCATGCTGGCTGTTGGAATCTGGATTGAAAGTGCATTCAAGTTATTCTACAGCCTTTCTCCTATAGGCTTCATTCAACACACTGCCCACATTTATCTGGTGTCTTGTCATTTCAAAAGGTAGAATGGGTAATGATGTCCAAATGGTTTCCCTTTGGAAAATTATTTATATTATAAATGGAATATAGAGACAGAAATGGAATAGGAAAACCCTGTATAACCTATAATAGTCAATGGACCTACCTTCCCACTTGCCACTAATATCTTCCTGAACTCCTCATCTTCTATCTCGTCACTAAGTCCTGTTGCTTTTAACTAACAGCTCTATTGTGTCTCCTTTTTAGCCCCAATTTTTGCCTTAGTTCAGGTTCCCATGAATTCCTGTCTGGATGACTGTAGTATTCTCCTCAGTTGGTTTTCCTACCTCCTGTTTTACTTTCCTCTATTCTCTATGAATTTTATCTTTCCAATTAAATGCTTTCATAACTCCCTTTGCTCCAGAATCAAATCCAGGTTTAGCACACAAACTCTTAATTGATCCCAAGTGTTTAATTTAAAACCCAGGTAACTTAACGAGAAATGCAGGCTGGATGGAAGTAAATTTTGACACACTTGAGTTCCCCAGCTCCCTTCACTCATGGCCACATCAGTTCTCCCAGGTTGGTCATTTTGTACCTTCTGTTTTAGACACGGACTCCATCTGAATATGCTGATACCCAGGAATTTCACTATCCTCTAAATCATATTATGAATACATATTGCTAAGACCTAACACTAAACTTGCCATATAAGGGCAGAAAGTTAACTTTCACTATCTGCCTTCCTGTTCAAAAGTCATTTTCTCTCAATTACATGACAGAAATCATCTTGATCACAAAATCATTACCTTTGTTATAGCCTTTTTCATCTGTTTCTTGTCCACCTATTCCCTGGTAGTAGGAGGGCAATGAATGGTCTCTTTCAAGAAGAGTGCAGACTCCTTTCACATACAAACAAATGAGCCAAATGTTCATAAACAACTTAAGATAGCAGATCCAGAGACCACGTGGGAGGCTGGAAGGAAGGATCTAGGGACGGAGTCCATGTCAGTGAGCAGGATTCGAATACTTAATTCCCAGTAGTAATGCTTTATAGGTCACATCAAAATTTACCTCTCCATGCAAAGCTTTGCAGACAAGCTCTGAGACTAATGTCTACATAGATCTTGATTGGGGGTGAATATAGATGCATTGATTCTCCCCATATTTTCTAGGATCTCTACTATCTACCCCTCTACTATCCAAACCTCATTTGATATATCATTGACCTAAGAACATCTGAAACTTCTATGTTCTTAGTCTTTTTTGATCATAGGACCCCTTGAAAATCTGAGGAAATCATTGCTTTTCTCCAGAAAAATAGGCAAATTATAAAAAATTATTGGCATGTATTTCAGTTTCAGTATAATCAGGATTGACCGCCCCCACCAGAATATCCTGATTTATCCTTAGTGATTCCCTATGATATAGAAAAACCCACAGTGAAAATGTGTTTATTTCTTAAATTCCCTTATTTAGTCCAGCACCTAAATACATCCAGCACCACGAGTTTCACAGATAGCCTATCCTATTTACAGAAGTTTTCAGAAACAAAGACCTCTTGTTTATAGATTCTTGTCAAAAGTCTCTGGTTTAGGAAAACTGGTACTGATATTTAATTTAGATGCCTCCAGCCCATTTCCAGACAGAAAACATGTTGTCTTTCATCAGATGGCTCCTGAATTGAAACTCCATCCATCACTCTTCCAGTGAAGATGTAAAAAAGACTGATTGACTTTCTGGAAGAAAACTTGACTTTTTGGCAGCTTATTGCAGAACAACCAGATCAGTCTAGAGCTCAGAGTTCAGAAAATTGCTTTAATCAGTTCACCCAAGGATGCCAGACCATAAGAAATTAGTCATATATTACCCAAGATAGCCTATACATCACAAAATGCTAGAAACATATTTGTCAAGTGGATGAGAATGCTGGTTTTTTTCCACTTTTTTTTGAGATCGCCAATTCAAAAAATAAAATGAAGACCAGAAAGCTGTATGGGAAACACGGGGCAGGTGAGGGGGCTGGATGGTCTGATGGGGTGGGTCAGGATGCCCCACCTGCCTGTGCACTCTCCCTCCACGGCAGTATGGCTGCCAGGGAGGAGAAAGCCAGGGAAACTTCTTCTTTAAGTATGACAACTTTTATTGGTTCTTTAATGTTTCCACTATAAACTGTAGCCAGATAAAACTACACTATTGATGATACACCCATTTCTTCACTTTCACACAACACCAGTGTTAACATTTTGATGCGTATCTTCAATTTTTTCTTATATACATGGTATCCTGATTATCAGCTGTTTACATCACTTTGAGTTCCCTCCAAGTAAAAGATCTACTTACCTTCTTGTTCTAACTCACAGTCTGCATGAAATCTAGATATAAACATGTTCAATACCATGGAGGAAATCAGCAAATTTCAGCATATAAAAAAATCTTATGAGATATCTGTTTCAACAAATGACAAATTTAAAAAGAAAAGAGGGCAAACACAAATCAAAAGCAATTTGAGAGTTATATCAACCAAGTGCAATGCACAGATCTTGTTTCAAATCTCCCTTGAGATATTTTTTATGTAAACCTCATGATAGCTACAAAACCCTAAAGCAGATGCACAAAAGATAATGTGGAAACACAGCACATCACCATGAAAAAATAAAAAATCACCAATTTCCCAAAGTAGGCAGAAACAAACGGGGGGGGTGGAGGGGGGAGCAGTAGAAATAAAAAACAACTAGAAAACAATCAGTAAGATGGCATTAGTAAGTCCTCACTATCAATAATAACTGTAAATGTAAATAGATTGACTGTACCAATCAAAAGACAGAGCGACTGAGTAGCTAAAACAAAACAAGACCCAACTATATGCCATTTACAAGAGACTTCAGCTCTAAAGATGCACGTAAGCTCAAAGTGAAGGGATGGTAACAGCCATCCCATGAGGGTAGAAACTAAAAGAAAGCAGGGGTAGCTATACTACATCACACACAAGAGCCTTTAACACCAAAACAGTAACAAATGACAAAGAAGATCATATAATGATAAAGGAGTCAATACATCAAGAAGATATAATAATCAAATATATATACCCAACATTGGAGCACCTAAATATGTCAAGCAAATACTAACAGATCTGAAGGGAGCAGTGGACACCAGTAATGGTAGAATACCCTACTTTCAACAACTGATAGATCATCCAGAACCTACTTGCCACCAAAACAAAACAAAAACAACCAATAAGGAAACAATGGATCTGAACCGTACATTAGACCAAATGGACCTAAAAGACATTTATAGAATTTTCCATCCATCAGAAGCCAAATAACATGCTCATCTTAAATCACAGAGAACATTTTCAAATATACTAAACAATTTAGTCTTACAAAGTTGAACCAAACACAGAGAATACATACGCTGATTCTACTTACAAAAAGTTCAAAAATCAGGATAGTGCTTACTTTTGGGTGGGACGGTCACTGGAAGGGCTGGGGCTTCTCAAGTGCCAGTAATCTGCTTTTTCGTCAGGGTCCTAGATACATAGATACGTTCATTTGTAAGAATTCTAGTTATAAACTTATGATTTTTTATCTGTGTTATACAATAAAATAGTTACATTTACAAGACAGTCTGAACATTCATATTTGATACTAGGAATTGCTGGCATTTTTTGTTAATATTGGGATTTTGTAAAAAAAAAGTCTTATATTTTAGTGATATGTACTAAAATATTTATGAAGTGTGATTCTTTAAAAAGTGAGGCAGAAGGGAAGGGAGAGGTAGGAGTTTAGAAAGGCCATTCATTGATAATTGTTGAAGTCAGGTAACGGTTACATGTAGGTACCTTAAACTATCTTCTCATATATATTTGAAAGCTTCCTTATAAAAGGTCATTGTAGAATCTCTTTGGAGACTTCTCTTCACCCAGTTCCCTTTCTGCACTGCCCAGGGGCTTTCATCCCTCTCCCTTCTCTCATAATTCCCCACCTTATAGAATAAACCTCTTATCAGTTCCCTTCTCATGCAATGCAGCTCCCCTGGGCTCTCAGTCTGAGCATGAGGTCATCCTGCAGGCCCCTTCAGGGCTCAGCCTCCAGCAGTTTCTTTAGACACACACTCACGCCCATGCCGAAAGAGATGATATTCTCCAGAAAGGAGGATCCTATTCTAACTGTTAAGAACAAATGCTTACCATACTCATTCATTAATTCCTTCCTTTATTCATCTCTCTCCCTCCCTCTGTAAATTGGCATGTACAGGTAGGATTTGGAAGATACTTTACTCTTTTCCTAAATTTGAGAGTATTATTAATGATATCAAGGAGACAGGTGTTAACATTTCCCAGGGTGGGCTACATCTACTGGCCGCTAACCTAAGCCATTTCATGACGATTCTCACAAGCTTTGATGTCAGAAGGTGATCTCTGAAAGTGTTCCCAGTTCTGAGAGTGAATGTTTTTGGAATCCTCAGTCCCCTCTACTCTGGCTAGGGCTGAATTTTCCTCTGAGGAATTTTGGATTTGTGGGTGGAATGAAGAAGAGAAAACACTTAAAAAGAACCTGTGGACCGACTGGGAATTTCTATAGGGTTGGCCACATAAGAACATCAATTAGCAGCTCTAAGACCAAGTGGAATGCAGGCAAAACATACATCCAAATGAGATTCTGTTTGTCTTCCAGGAATGGGGGTGTTACAGGATAATTTACTTAAACTGGTCTCAGAGCATACATACGTTTCAGCAGAGAAACAAAGCACACAAATCAGAGTTTGATTTAGGAATTCATAAACAGATGTGATTTGGAAAATTAAAACATTTTATCAAGCTCAGTGAAAGTCAGGGCTCTGGCTGTGTGAACCTAAACCACAATGCATTTGATCACATCCTGCCAGCCTAGGAGTTTCTGCCCCAGTGCCACACCAACAGCTACTCCTCAGCAGGGAGCCCCGAGTGCTGTCCCAGTCCATGTAACCCCTGCTGCCCACCTCTGCCGTGTATCCTTCTGCTGTATCTCCCACCCACTAGATCACCTTCATTTACGGAGCCTCTCCACCTTCCTGAGCAAACATCCCCACAGCCGCCTGCTCCCGCTGCCCTAAGGCCTCCCTCCTGCTGAAACGGTGTCTGAAGATGAAAAGCACACCACCACACAAAGAGACACCAAAAATACCCTTTTTAATGCCTGAGCAAAGGACCAGTTTAGGTGATGGCAGAACTTTATGGAGAAATTCATTTGCCTCTAGAAAATGTGGATAGACATGGCTGTAAAACAGATAAATTTTCCCAAGAGGTCAATGGACTGGAAAGACATTCTGCAGATTCTCGAACTTTTTTGCCCTTTTGTAGGACTTATGATAAGAAAGCTTTCACACAAAGGCACTAGCATCTGAGTGGGAATAATCCAACTGTTTTAGACAAGTTTACAGCAGCACAGGGATTTGGAAGACATCTGACCACTCATTCATGTCACTTTGAATCAACAAAGGTACTCCCTCCCCAAGATGAAGGAGTTCTAATCTGGTGGTCATTAGCAACTGTGCTTTGGAAAAATCTGAGTTTCCATGTACAAGCAAGAGGTGACAGGCTCAGAGCAGCACTTTAAATGGCCCTAGAAAAGAATAAGGGCTTAGTGGATGGCCACACAATGGGTAGGATTAGTCCACATAATTCTGTGTCACTCCTGATGAGGTAGATGCACATACTGCAGTTTCATATGACAGACAGTGTGGGTATAGAGGTCAGAGAAGGGTTCTGGTCAGATGGCCAGTCCACCAAAACTTATTTAATAAGGCAGAAAAAAGCCAACGCCACAGGCACTGTTTGTGAACATTCCATGAGCTTGTGGTCATAAACTCTTAGGTCAGGGCCTCCTGCCACATGGAGAGCCCTCAGGAAATGCCAGCTATTTTGGATGGAGGGTATAGACCCCAAGAATGATGATCATCCCAGTGTGGTGTTTCACGAACGTTGAAAGGAAGAGTCCAGTCAGGCATAGGGCAATGCCTCCAGTTTGTGGATCTGAACTCCTTTTAATGCACACAAGGTCTCAAAGGGCTGGGGAGGAGTATGGCATAGTAGAAAGAACACTGGACTTGGAGGAGAGGGGTCTGGGTTTAAGTCCTGGGTCATTGCCTGCTTGGTGACCTGGAATCTAGCAATTTACCCATCTGGGCTTGAGAGGAGGGCTGGCCTTTATGGTCACTTCTAGCTTAAAACTATGATTTGATGCTGAGCAGTACTTACATCAAGGTTTCTTTGATGAGGTGAACACTAGTTTTCAAAAGGAAGTGTTACTTCAGCTCCTATGTTTCTATTTTCCTTTTATTTAAATCCTCTATACTGATTCACCCATAAGCTTATGATAGTTGACCCAAATCAGAAGTCCAGGAATTCCCCAAAAGATCAAGTGACACTATGACAGAGTTTGACAAATATTTCTCTTAAGATACCAGATCTTGGTCTTCCATTTTCCTTAACATTTGTATTGATAATTTTGTCCTGAGAAAGGGTTTTTTTCACCCCTCTAAAAATGGTAATTTATAGAGACCCAGACACATTGCTGACAAGTGTCTCTTGTTCCAGACTATCCATGTTTCCAGACAGCTGGTGAGGGTTTTGGCTGCAGGCTGTTGCCATGAGACAAAGCCACGCTGACCTCTATGGGGACTGGAGTCATGAGCTTGCCTTCCTGAGCGCTACCTGCTAGGCTAAAACCCTACCATTAAGGATTAAATTACTAACCCCAACAGCAGGGGTGGCAGATCTGAGAAAAGATTTAAGCTGATGAGCTACATTTCATACAAAATATGTCTTCAAGAATAACCCCTAAAGGGCATTTATAACCATTTTTCTGATATCTTAAAAAAAAAAAACACAACCAAAAGCCTGACATGCGTTGATATTTTTTCTAGCTAATTTCCTTGAAAAGACAGTGCTCATTATCAATTCAAAACTTAAATTGATGCACTCACCAGGAAGGATAAATGAAATTCCAGACATTATCATGCAAATGCAGTCTTAAAACTCTGCTGTTGTAAAAAATGTTCAGTAGTATATAACCATCTTGACATTTCCACATAAGACAGAGATTTATAGAAAAACAGGAGTGACTTATGAAAAAAGTCAAGCAGGGCTATCATATTTTACAGATACCCTAACTGGATACTAAAATTGATAAAAGCTAACATAATATTCAAAAGGCAAAACCTGAGGTATGCATGGCATCTATTCTTCAGGTTTTCATATCTATTTCTTCAGGGAAAATGGTTTAGGAAACCCCAAATCCTGTTCACAAAGGTTTCACATTCCTAGTAAAGGTAACTCCAACTTAGGTTGGGTTTTAGTGCATAGATAGTATATATATCGTATCTAAATAACACTGGATATTATAAAGACAAACATAAGGCAAAGATTTTGCCACTGCAGTGAGAAAAGGGAATAAAAATAATAGACAAGTGAAATGCAAAGTAGAATGTGATAAATGTCATATACCAGGTATCAACAAAATGTTTGGAGGTAGTTGTGTTAGAAGAGTGAGATTAGATTTGGGGAGGAAAAACCTGCATGGAAAAAGGTGCTATTTCAACTCAATTTTGAAAGCTAGGTAGGATTAGACAGAAAGTGAATGGGGAAGAGGCCCTTTCAGGTGACTGGCCTGAGCAAAGCATGGAGATGTTGGGAGATGACCCACTTGGCTTGGGGGGTGGAACAAGGTGGCCGAGTGCCTGCGTGGGTGGAAGGCGCCCTGTGGAGCACTGGCTTGTAGCCACAGCCTGAAGTTAGTCTCCACCCTGCAGACCCTGTTCCTCCAAGAATTTTTATGTCACTCTTAGGAACTGAAATAGCTGTTATTAAAGGAACCCAAGTTGAACACTGGATGAACAATGACAAAAAAAAGGAGAAACTGAAGATACGAAGAGAGGGGATTGATGGAGACAGATAAGTGAGGAGTCAGGAGGTGATAGGCTCCACGGATTGAGATGGAGGGTCCTGTGGAAGACCATCACCCTTTCCTCAGTGCAGGGGTTGGCAAACTTTCTGTCAAGGGCCAGAGGATAAATAATTCAGGCTTTTCAGGCCACATATTCCTCATCCCAACTATTCAATTGTGCCATTGCACTGCAAAAACAGACACAGACATGAACAAAAGTGACCATGTTCCAATGAAAACCTTATTTACGAAAGTGGGTGGCACACCTGACTCGACCCATGGGTCATCATTTGCTCACCCTTTCCTTTCAGAAGATCAGTAAAGAAGAAGAGTAAGCATATGATGATATTGAAATGAAAGGTTTTGACTTTTCAGTCAAGTAGGAGGCAAGGGTATCTGTTAAGAAATGCAGGTGCAGAACAGAAGGAATTGGAGATATCTGGGAGCAGTCTTCAGCGAGCTAGCTAGGGATGAACACATCCAAAGCAGCAGTTGGAATTCTTAACGGAGCCAATCAACAGTTCTGGGACCAGAATAGAGAAAGTAAGTCTATAAAAGCATCAACCAGTATGGGACTTGGCCAGTTCTCAAATGCTTTCTGTGTGTTGCAAAACCTAAATGCAAAGATTAAGCCATCGTTTCTGCAAATCATTTACTATTGTCAAGTGCAAAAAGAAAGGTTTCTTCTTGTTTCTACTCATAAATCTTATTCCACAACCCACATCAGTGTCACCCACAGAAATCCAAGCACTATTCATGAGACAAGCAATCAGGCACTGGCTGGGACCCAAAGAGGAAATGATGAGGTAATGAATAAATTAATGACTATTTTTCAGCCAGCAAGTTACCAGCAATAAAAGCCAAGGTTGACATAAAGAAATTTAATCTCTATTTTCTTTCCATCTCTCAGATGCAGAGGTGTCCAAGGCAGAAAAAGCATGAGATGCTATTTCCCCAAAAGTAACTCAAGTGTTCCAGGAACACGATGAAATTGAGAAGAGCAAGTAGCTGGCTTTCCCTTTCAGAGAAATGACTTCCTTAGAAATGGCTCAGGCTCTTCACATTTCCTATAAGGACCAGCAGCTAGTTCTGGGCTTCCCACATACTGTGAAGGAGAGTGTCACATGCCAGTCAAACACAGCCTATGATGGGGAAGATGGGCAGACCCCAGTGGACACACTTCCATTTCCTTTTAATGATACTCTGGAGGAATGGACATGGCTTTTAGGCATTTTGATCAGGCAAGCTGTTAAAAGTATCACACTGAGCCTGAGAATCACCACAGCTGGAAAGACAGGAATAGTTGCCACCTATTTGAACTTGCTAATTCGCCTAAAACTGACAGAGCAAGACTTGTCAAAGAGGTTTCTTTGGAGCTGTCAGTCCTCCCCAGGATCTCCATCGTTCGGCCTTCTGTCCTGTTGATTAAGAGCAGTGTAGAGCACAGCTCTTCTGCATTTGTTATTAAAACCATTTCTTTGTTTCACTGAGTAATAATTCTCATCTCAACACCACTGTCACAAAGCGGGGCGGTGGGGATCCAGCTCTCTATGGTAATGGCAGTGGTAGGCATGGCTTAAGCTTCTCAGAGAGGTGGAAAATCCCAGCTCACAACCCCAGAACTGTTCAGTGCCAAAGTACCAGGAATTGGATCTTTCCCACTTCATCAAGAGGGTACCTTAAGCCTTATCAAGCCCTTGGAATGCCCATCTCAAGGGATGACAGGAAACCATGATAAACAGCCCAGGACAGAAAGGGATCAGGAGCTTAAACACTGGAGCTTGAAATATTTTCTGACTGATCAAACAAGGTTTGCTGCAAGCAGTGCTTCCTGCCTGCCCTCTGAGCCTTATTCCTGCCTCACTTCTGTTTGCTTGTTATTGTGTACGTGGCCACACTGTTATTATTTGTTAAGTGTTATGACTATGGGACACTTATTAGGAGTTGGACACACTGTCCCTCAAAAACCCCAAGGGAACAATTGCCCCCCCCCATTTTTTAGAGGAAGAACTGGAAACTGGAGAAGTTGGGCCACCTGCCCAAGATCACACAGCTGTGGCATATTACAGTGCAAGCCCAAGTGTGTCTGGCCCCGAAGCCTATGCTGTTCTCTAGACAGGGGCCAGTGGACCTTGAGAAGTCTGCTCAAAGACCTTGGATTTTCCTCCCAGGAAAGGAGAAACCACATTTGGTGTATACACTTCTCCTGCTAATGGGTTTCAGCCCCAGACAAGTTCACTATGGATCCAATGTGACCAAAGAAATGACAGTATAACATTCTTGGGATGAAAGTGTTTATACCTAACTTTATTCCTATGGTGACAGGTCCACTATAGGATTTGCTAGAATCCGGTCCACTCAAAGTGAGTCTGCATGCAGCTAGCTGGTCTCTGCCTCTGGGCCTCTCCATCTCTGCAGCCATCTCAGTCTCTGTCCTCAGCACTGCCACCACTCCATTCTCTGCTCTTCTGCAGCCATGCCACACTGCAGCTGTGCCACTATGTCACCCAGAGCACTGGGCAGAGCTGTTTATATAGAGTCAATAACAATACACTGCCCACACCTGTGTAGTGAGCTAGCCAACCAGGGCCAGGTGAGAATCCTGGCCATAGGAACCCTCACTTTATCCACAACATGGGAACCCAGGCAGTGTCCTGGTGCCAGTGCAGTAGAGAAGGCAGGCATCTGGAACAAGTGTTACAGCACTTAAAATCAAATACATACTAACTAGCTCCTGGTTATAAGGGAAAGTTTCCATCCATACAGTTTACACAGATACAAGCATTTGCAGCTTCTAAGTTTTACATACTACATCTCATTTGAGCAATATTACTACCTTAGGAGAGCAGGCCAAGCACTATTTCCGCTTTTTCAGATTTAAAAAAATGATAAAGTTTCTAAAAGATTAGGAAGTACACTTAATGTTACATGGCTAATAATGGATTAGGATTAATAAGCAGACTAGGCTTAGAAAACTTTTTGGTTCTGAGCCCAGATTTTCCCTCTAACATCAGGTTGCTTCTATTCTGTATGTAGCTCACTTAATAGATTTGCAAAGAAATTTCTTAAATTTTCTCCTTTAGTTCCTGAGAGATGGCACTTACCAGTGACACAGGTTTATTTCTAGGACAATTAGTAAAACTTTAAAAAACAAAGGTGAGTTTAAACTTGTAAGCAGTAGCTGGATTTATTTGCTAAAGTTAAAAGTGGAAATCTGACTATACTCTATGGTGTAATGTCAGTAACTCTAGTGCTGTATTAAAAAAAAAAAAAAAGGAACCGTAGCACAAGTAAAAGAAAAAGGGGATGGGGAAGAAGGGTAAGGCAGAGTCCCAGAACAGTACTATACTGATATATTTATAGTGACCAGGGTCAGAGAAAACCAATGGGGAGCCAGAAAGCACAAAATAAGGGTAGTAGGCATACACAGTCCTACATGAAATTAGAAAAGGACAACAGAGAGCAGAAGGAACCAAAACTAGACACATAACAAAAATTGAATTTGGATCACTAATCATGGCAACAAAGTAAAGAATGAAAAGAAAGTAAGTCTCTAAATGCATACCATTATATAACCCTATTATTCTCCTGGTTTAGGGATATGGCTCCAAAGAGGAAAAGAAGCAAAGCAGAGCAAAGAGGAGCCAGAGAAATGAAAAGGAGAGTTGAACCCTGAAGCTCAGGAAAAGACAGAGTATTCAGTAGGAGGAAGCAACTCTGCTGAAAGATGGGGCCTTTTTCTCTGTTGCCTTCTGTACTGTTATGAAGTAAACTTGGTATGAAGGTCTGGGGGAGGACTTTTGACAATCTGAGCTGTCAGTCCCTCTTGTTGAGAGTTGCTATTTTTTCCTATCACCATTCCATTCCTACCCAGCGTCACTTTATCTCGTAGGTGAATGAGCAGAGTGCTTCCGCCCCTGCAGCCTGGCTGCGCCTGCCTCACACTGAGCAGCTGCTCCTGGGAATCAGGCAGCAGCTCTGGTGCAGGAAACCTCAAGTCCTGCTGAAAGGGGGGCCGGGGCCAGGAGCAGCAAGGACAGGCTGCATCTACAGCAACACAATGTGTGAAGGCAGAAAATTGGTGACAAATCCTGGAATCAAGGAGGGTGGGCATGCTTTACCCTGGGTTTTTAGAGGAAGGCCTAGCCCTTGCCTTGTGGGCCTAAACCTTTCTTCAGTTAAAATTTTTCTAGATGAGTGTAATAAACGGTGACATACTAGTTTCTAGTCATAAGAATTCAAGTCACTTAATTCCAAAACATTTTAGTTAAGGATCAAAAATGGAGTGATACTGTGTACACACAAAACCTTACCGACCTGTCTGAGGTTTTCAGGGAGCCCACGTCATTAAACCCACTGTATTTTGAAATGTCATGAACCCAGTTTTTTTTTCCACTTAATCTGAAATTACCTTTTTAAACTATCTCTACACAATTACATAATCCACTTCAAGAAATGAAATGGATGTTGTTATTCCCTGTTGAGTCTTTGAGTAAATAACTCTGGAAGATTCTTCAAATCAGGGCAAGGACAGCTCTCTTAGGCTATCTTTTGCAGGTACTCAGCCCGACCCCCACACAAGCCAAATCACCAAGACAAATCCAGGTCTTTGCTGTGACCCTTCCAACAGCTGTCAAACAGATAAGTCCTCCTCTACTCCTCTGAGTTCATCCCAAAAGACAGAAACAGCAAGCAAAATCTTTCAAGCGTGGGCTCAGCATCGGTTCCCACCCATCTTTCCAGCCTAAGGGCATGTATTCTGCAGGTGAGAAATTCCAAGACAAATCCCCTGTTCGCTTAATTATTTCATTGCATTCTTGGAGACTTGCAGGTAACGCTGTACTTCATTTGAAAGTCCCCATTTGGCTGTCGTAAATAACTCTTTCAAAAATCATGCTAGATACTAACAATGGCACTTACGGATTACCAAAAAATGTGCACAGGATAATAAAACAAATCAGCTGGAATTAGGCTAAAACTATTATATGCAAGGTCTTGTAGCATCAACTCCTTGAGTACCACAGGAGGGAAACAGTCAAATAAAGCCCCCTTACCTTGTTTGCTGACGACAAGACGGTCGAAAAGCGTGAGCATGGGTTCCGTGCCTGAGTACAATGTAGCAGTGAGTTTGGTCTGCGGACCAGCAACACAAGCTTCACCCGGAACTTGTTAGAAATGCAAATGTTCAAGCCCCAGCTCAGGCCTACAGAGTCAGGAACTCTGGAGGTAGGGTGGAGCCCAGCACCGTTAACAAGCCCTCCTCGTGCTTGTGCTGCCCCCCTCAGATTGGAAACCACTGGTATAACAGCCTCAGCTTGAAACTCAAGTTAAGTAGAAACAGCTGCCACTTAAAAATTGTACCATTCCATGACTTTGAAAACTGCACCAGACTTTCAGTGAACTTGTTTTAGAACAGCATTGTATTGACAAAATGTTGCAAAGAAGGTACAGAGTTCTCCTACACCCTACCTCAGTTTTCCCTATGGTTAACATCTTGCATTAGTTTAGTACAATCGTCACACTTAATGAATCTACACTGACACTAATTAATAAAGCCTATACTTTTCCAGATTTCCTGAGATTTTGCTTAATGTCCCTTTTCTGATCTACCATCCTATCCTGGATACGTATCACACTTAGTCATTGTGTCTCCTTAGGCTGCTTTTGGCTATAATAACTTCTCTGACTTGTTTTTAATGGACTTGACTGTTTGGAAGGGTTCTGGTTTGGTGTTTGTAGAATTTCCCTCAGGATCTGTCTGATATTTTTTTATGATTAGACAGGGGTCATGGATTTGGGGAGGAAGAACACAGAGGTAAACTGACATTTTCACCATAACATAGCAAGGGTACAAACTACCAACACAACTTATGACTGAAAATTGTTAAGTGATCACCTGGAGGAGGTAGTGTTTACCATGTTTCTCCACCATATTTTTGGCTCCGTTTTCATATTATAGTGCTTAGAAGTGAAAAACCATGGGCAGCCTACTCTTCAGGAGTCGGGGGTTTTGTACCACCTCCTCAGGGTGGAGTATATATGTAAATCAGCATCAGAATTTTGCACTTGAAAAATGAGTAAAACAAATTTTGGTATTAGATGTTTCTAAAAAGAATTAGGGGCATGAACTGGGTGGATAATTTGCTTGCCAGTGGGTTTCAGCCCTGGGCAAGCTCACTGTAGATTCAATATGACCAAAGAAATGACAGTGGAATATTCTTGGGGTGAAAGGGTTATACCCAACTTTATTTCCATGGTGGCAGGTCAATCACTAGAATCCCTTCCACTCAGAGTGAGCCAGTGTCTGCCTCTGGGCCTCTCTACCTGCACAACTGTCTCAGTCTCTGTCCTTGGCATTGCTACCACTCCAGCCTCTGCTCTGTTCTCTTGCAGCCATGCCACCATGTCTCCCAGAGCACTGGGCAGGGCTCTTTATATAGAGTTAATAATGACCTATTGCCCACACATGTGTAGTGAGCCAGCCAGCCAAGGCCAGGTAGAATCCTGGCCACAGGAACCTTCACTTTATCCACAATAATCAACATAAAAAAAATAGCACGTACTGACATGGGAGCTGAGGCTGCCAACAGAGGTAAAAATGTCTGTGCAATGGCAGACCAATGCAGAGAATCACAATATGTCCTCACCATGTGGCACTAGGAGTGGGAACTAGAAATGATTGCCACTGTGTCTTCTTTTACAGACATACACCCAGGATGTCTTTCAGTCTAAAAGTCCCTACCCTCTTCCTTCAGTAGTTCTCAGCCTTGGCTGCTTGCTGATAATACTTGGGAAACTTTCTGGGTGAGGTGTTGGCATTGGCATTTTAAAAGCTCCCCATGTAATCTGAGTGTGCCACCAGAGTTGGAAAGCCATTGCCGTCAGCATGGTCATCATCCTCGGTGATAGCTTTCTACTAATGAGCAGAGTGGGAGCCAGGGCATCTAGGAACAGGGCAGAGCATACCTCCCCATGTGGGAACAGGGAAGAGTATGAAATACTCAAGAAAGAGACCACATGGACGAAGGGAAGTGAGAAAAAACACAGATGTTCAAAGATTTATAAGGTATGGCTCTGCCCTCAAAGGTCTCCCCAGAAATTAAAGATGAGAGATGGAATAGAGAAGCTCCTGGTGGTAGCAGCTGGGGCAGAGTACTTGCACTAGCAGCAGCTGACAGAAAGTTCTTACTTTAGGCCAGGCCTGAATTCCAGTCTATTCTGTTTGCAACCAAGTCAAGTGGATACTATTATTGTTTCCATTTTGCAGATGAGGAAACTTGCCCAGAGTAATGGAGCTAAGAACTGGCCAAACACGGGCCTCAAAACCTGGCCATCCAACTCCAGCGCCTTTGTCCTATGTCATTTTCTCCTCCCTATCTTGATTGCATCCCAGATCTGTGGGAGCACATGGGAAGAAGGGATTTAGTCCTGGAAGTTAAGGCTCTCAAGAGATGTGTTTTAGAAACTGAATGAAAGAGAGAAAGTTTAATCTGGAGTTGCTGTGAAGCACAATTTGGTTGGTAACAGTTGAGACAAAGACCACGTAACTGAATTGTGCATTACTGGGATCAAGGACTGTGGTAGGATAGATTTACTGAAAAGTGAGCACTTCTTCATATACAGAACACTTGATGACAAGAGTGATGATTTATTGAACTATAAACAGCATAAAAAGGTTCAGAAAAAAATTGGTATAGTTCCACTGTCCCTAGCCCAGAGGGTTCCTTATCCACACCCTGAAAGTAATTTCTTTGTAAATAAACCTCAGAGATTTTTAATTGTGCCACCTGCTTCCTGTTGCAATCCTGATTAACACACAAAACTAGATGTGAATTCTCTTTCATTTTGCCTGACCCATTTGTCAGCAGTGGGGCCCAGAGGGGCTCTTCACAGCCCAGGTGGCAATGACCACTTTCTATAGTGTTAGTCTGGCCACCTGGTTTCCATGGGAACAGGGTGTAACTGGTCCTGAAAGTGAATTCCTATGCAATCTCCTCATTCTAGCTCTAATTCCTGCCCACCTAGAAATAAATAGGAATAATAATAAGTGAACCACTGTGGTGGGCAAAACAGTTGACCCTTGACCAACATGGGCTTGAACTGTAAGTGTCCACTTATATATGTTTTTTTTCAATAAATATATTGGAAAATTTTTTGAAAATTTGCAATGACTTGAAAAATAGTTTTCTCTAGTTTATTTTAATGTAAGAATACAGTATATTATACATATAACATACAAAATTTGGGTTAATCAACTGTTTAGTGGTAAGGCTTCTGGTTAACAGTAGGCTATTAGCAGTTAAGGTTTGGGGGAATCAAAAGCTATACTGATTTTTGACTGTGCTGGGGGTCAGCTCCCTTAACGCCCATGTCGTTTAAAGGTCAACTGTGTTCTTCCCCCCTCTGTTTAAATACATTTTTTCTCTTTTGAGATAATATTCTACCTTAGTCTTCTCCAACATTCATCAACTTCCTTCTGTTCCTATACTTTTATGGTAAATCTTTCCCCCAAATCCTTAAAATACATACATGTTTAGCGATATGATTAACAATACCATTAGTTTATAAAGAATCAAAATAATAAAAAAACCCTAGCATTAATTGAATGTGATAAGCTGGGCACCATGATTTTGTGACTTATTTAATCCTTACAGGAGTCTACCATGTAGGCAATGTCATTATCTCCATTTACAGATAGAGGAAAGAGGCTAATGAGAACAGATGATGCTATGGCTCACATAAGAAGTAGTGGTGTTAAGTCTACACTGGGCTCTGGTGAGCAGATTGCATGTCTGTCCACATATTGGCCTCTTCCTTGTTCTTATTTTCTTCTTTCTCCTCCTCTTCTCCTCCCATCTGTGTCTTCCCTCTCCTCTTCCTTCTAATCAATAAACACATCTTTCTGAGTGCTTGCCGTGCCCAGGGCCATGCTCTGTTAGCTGGGGAAAAAGAAACATTAAAGGTATGGCTCTTGATGTCAGTGGGCTTATATTCTAGCTGGCTATAGATCACTCATATTTTATTATTTATAATGATCTTTTTAAAAAGAAAGCATTGGTAGCACACACCATAAAAGAGGTATAAACAATGAGTGACATAGGAGTTCAGAAGACAGGTCAATGCCCTTGTTGGGGTGTTGAGAAATGCTTCTTGTAGGAAGTAGAGTTTCAGGTAAGCTATGAAATTCTGGTAGGGTTTCCAGAAAGAAACTATGATGGTATCCTTCACACTTAGGGTTTATGCTTGGAGTGAAGTTTCTTAAGAAACTTCAGTAAAATATCTTGGGCTTCCTCCTTTTCTTCTTATTCTCTGGAGAGAATAAGTAAGGTTAAGGGATACTGCTAATACTTAGAAGTAAGAGTCTGGGAATTGGTGGCCATAGAAGAATTTGGCCTTAAATCTCCAGGAATCTTTAGAATAAGAATGAACTCATAGTGAAAATGAAGACTCTACCTACTACCACAGATTTTTTTAAAAAATATGGAATATCCTAATGATTTAGTTTGGACTATAACACAATTACTTTTCTCCTAGAATTCAGGAGGTCCTTCTGATGACATGTGCATGAGTCTGACACTGTCTAAATAACAACTCTTGTGACATACAGAGAAAAAGAGAAGCAGTACCAACAAAAAGTGACAGATCAGGCTGCCCAGAGCTAACCAAATGGCTTTTGACAAAGGTCCCTTTGGTAACACATACAAACACTTAACATAAAAGAAACTTGTAGGTAGGAAAAGAAGATCTCTCTATAATTGCTCTGTATGTGCAATGAAATGGCTGGCAGCACTGAGTATATCCTATCCTATCCTTTTACACCTGATTAGATGTTAATTAGAATGTGGTACATATCACTAGTTAATGGATCTGAAATCTTGGGCAAAGGTCACTTTACTAAACATTTCCCTGTGCTGTTTCTAAAGCTGACGAATTTTCCCTGTTATGCCAAATTTCCTTTGCAATTAAAAAATTTAGAGGGGAAAAAACCCTCAGTGACATCACATGGATACCCAAAGCCACATAAGACCTGAGGCTTATCAAATGTGTCCTATTACTGATATAAATTGATATATTATAAAATCCCTGTTTCTTTCATTGTTGTCTTTAATGTTTAACACATTGTTTTAGCATGATAATGT